CCACAGCCTCCCTGGGCAGCCTGGGCCAGGGCTCCGTCACCCTCAGAGGGAAGAAGTTCTTCCTCATGTTCAGCTGGAACTTCCTGTGCCTCAGTTTGTGCCCATTGCCCCTTGTCCTGCCACTGGGCACCACTGAAAAGAGCTTGGCCCCATCCTCCTGACACCCACCCTGCAGAGTCGTAGCAAGAGCCCACGTCGGAAGGGAAACGGGCACCAAGTCACCCCTGGGCTAGGGCAGATGGGAAGGAAGCTTGAGAGAAACGTCCCCGACTCTGGCCTGGAGCACGCGGTGCTCTTGCCCGGGTCACAGGAGCACACCCCTCCTGCTGCACCGCCAGGGAATGCCCCGCTGGGGCGAGACGCTCCCGGGTCAGACATTTGGTCCTCTGCCAGAAGGTGATGACAAGATTGCACGTGTGCAGGTAGCGCCGATCCCTCCTTCAGTGACGTTGTGCTCAACAGGGACAGGAAATGGGCGAGCCAGCGCGGAAGTGTTTGTTACAGTCGCGTGTGGCTGCAAGAACAGAAAGGTTTGGTTTCTGCAGGATAGGGCCTGCGCCTTTTCTGCCAGAGTTTGCTCTGGTTCAAGTTCAGCTCCCTGGTGTGGGGCCTTAGGCAGAAGCTGTAAATGGAAAATGGGTTAATTACTCTGTTTCTGTGTCTCCTAAGAATTCTGCTCTCCTGCTAAGATTCTTTTACACTAGGAAGTACACAAACACAAAATTTAAAAAATGGTTAATTATTGATACTGTGTTAATAAGTGTGGCACACAGGTACGAAAGGATTACTGAAATGTGTCAGTGACAGAAAACTGGGGGAAAACTCTCAGTAAAAGAGATTTGAAATATAGAGGAAGAGTGGCTGACCTTCCAGTGTAATAAACATGGGATTTAATTTAATAAGAGAGTGAATCCAAGGGCGATTGGCAATATTTTCCCCTGTAAGGCAGAAGGCATGTCACTCCTCAGTACGGAAAGGAGCGGTGAACTGGTTAATCAGAAGATGAGTGGGAGGCAGCGAGGTATTGCAGATACACGAGAACGAGCGTAACCTCAAAACACACTCGTGTAACTCTTCGCAGTGGAGATGGAAGAGCACTGACCTTAGAGCGCTGTTCTCATCACAGAATCACAGAATCACAGAACAGTAGGGGTTGGAAGGGACCTCTGTGGGTCATCTAGTCCAACCCTCCTGCCCAAGCAGGGTCACCTACAGCAGGCTGCACAGGACCTTGTCATCACTTACCTTCGGGAAAGAACAAGCTTGCGGGAAGTAGACTGGGATGGTGAGGGGAGCAGAGAACCTATTTTAGAAGGAAGGATTAAAATATTGGTGTTTTATCTACAGAAACGCAGTGGAGGGGTCAGTATTGCTTTGTGTAAAAGCACTGAGGAACGAGGGTAAATACACAGGGGGAAAAGAGCAATGCAAAATCAAGCAGAATGCTGACACAAAACGTTAAAAGGATCTAAATTACACAGGAATAAAATATGAAACTTGGAATAAGGGGTGACAGGAGTTGAGCTGTGGAGGAACCCTACGGTTTTTTCCGAGGGAGCTTTTGAGTAACGGTGTACGATGCACCAGCCTGCGACGGCAAGGGCTGAGCTTCCAGTCTGAGCCACCAAGATTGTCAAAGACCTCAAACAGGTGTGGCAGACATCGAACGATCACACACATCTTGTGTTATTTACCTCAAGCGAGGGAGATGAGGGATTTCTCCAGAACTACAGCTATTTCTCTAAGCCCAAACTGCAAGCGCCTCAGTGTGTGGGTTCAGTGTTCCCCGTATCTCAGCTGTGCTTTCCTCCTCCTCTGTTTCAGATTCCCGTTTCCAGAATATCCCCGATGCCATTTCCTGCGGGCCAGGTCTCTCCCAGGGCACGTTTCCCAGTCTCACTTACCAGTCCGGGAAGAACCGGGGCCAGAACTTTGGCCGACATCAAGGCGAAAGCCCAGGCAGCAACGAGCGGAACCAGCGAAACTGGAATTCGAGGAAATGCACTGGAACTGGCAGGAACTGGAAGCGGGGGAAGTTCGAGAAGGTTTCTTCCCCATTGCCCAGGGAGCCATACCCAAATGGAGACCCAGGCCGCGGAGCAGGCACCACCTCACAACCCTTCTAGAGCACAACTACAGCAAGCTTCCACGCTGCAACCCAGAACTGCAGCCAGCAGTACAGGCAGCAGCTCCTCCTCGTCAGCGGTGTCGGCATTAGAGAGAACCAGCGGAATCAGGCAGAGCCCCCCCGGTGTGCCGGTAAATCAGGCTTCGGGCTCGCCGTGTGCTGGCAGCAGCGACAGACAGGAGAAGGCACCTTCTGCTCCGGCAGGTCCGAGCGGGGCCTGTGGGGCACCGGCTGTCAGGGACGGAACAGGCTGCGTCACGGCGTCCACAGCAGGTCCCAACACAAAGGTAGCTAAGGTAGCACCTACGGCCTTAGGAGGGACCAGCTCAGATGTTCCTAAAGGTAAACCTCCTTCCCCTCCGATGTCGTCACCAACACCCACGAGCTCCGAAGCCCAGGCTGGAGGTGTGGTCGCGTCTGGTACATCTGTCCCACCCTCTAACACTTCGTCGGTAGCACCGAGCCTTAAAACACACGCAAGCTCAAGTGGGGCCCTCCCGAAACCAAGCTCCAGTATTCCTGCTAACAACCCTTTGGTCACCCAGCTTCTTCAAGGCAAGAACGTCCCTCTGGAGCAAATCCTGCCGAAGCCTCTCACCAAAGCAGAGATGAAAACTGTCCCTTTAGAATCTCGTGAAGAAAAAGGGGTGGCAGCAGCATCCAGTGCTACCAGCGTAGCAGGGAACGGCACTGGAGCCGAGGGCGGTGAAAGACAATCGAGTTTGCCCACACAACAGCTTGGGAAGATCTTTTGCCAGAACAGGCCTCTGCCTCACATTCCAAGGACCTTTCCGCTCCCCTCGGGAAAGGACCCTGGTCTTGACCAGCACCAGTGCCACGAGGCGCTCAGCAAAACGACCCAAGAGCAGATCCTTCAGACGCTTATCAAGAGGGTCCAGAGGCAGAATGTGTTGCCAGTCCTTCAGCCTTCACAACTGAACCTCACTCACTCAGGTTTCCAGTTAGAAAACAGCTCCACCAGCCAGAGGTTTATGCTCGGTTTCATGGGCAGAAGGACATCCAAGCCTGCGATGTCTGGTCATTATCTGCTCAACATTTCCACCTATGGTCGTGGTTCAGAGAGTTTGAGGAGAGGCTTCTCCTTGAACCCGGAAAACCGCTTGTGTCTGAACAGTCCTGCTGATGCTCCAAAACCAGAATTCGGAGAATGTGAGGAGACAGCTGGCCACGGCAGCAGCAGCGAGGAAGGAGATGCAGATGATGAGAGTACTGGTGATGAACGTGAACATATCAGCGTGAAAGAGGAGCCCCAGGCTTCTGGTCAGTGTGAAAAAGAGCAGGTATCACAAGGCATAAATTCTTCGGATTACAGCACCTTTGCTAAGAAGGGGGTAAAGACAGAAGCAGCCACGTCTCAGCAAGCAGCAGTCAACAAGGAGAGCGTTCAGGCGTTTGATGGAACTACGTTAGCACGAGATTTTATTCAAGCCGCTCAAGAGCAAATGGCACATGCAATGAGGGGGAAAACGCACAGCAGTCCGGAGCTTCTCAGCACTCCTGTACCGTCCTCGGACTCTGCGCAGCAGCAGCCCCCGCGGCTTTCTCCTTCACACCCTCCAAAGCTGTCTGGAAATGCTGCAGCACAGCTCATTGGGCCCAGCTACAGTGGCACAATAAACGTCTCCACCTCCCCAGACGTGAACCAAGGGTCTCTTATGACTGGGCTGTCTGAATGCAACCAGTTGTCCAGCAGCATGGGGAATGTCATGTCCTTTTCCGTGACGGTAACCACCATTCCCACCAGCCAAGCTATGAACTCTGGCAGCCACCCTCAGACCATCCCCGTGCAAGCCTTCGCTGAAGACAGCAGCATGGAGGATTCCCCTTCCAAATGTTACTGCAGGTTGAAAGCCATGATCATGTGCAAGGGCTGCGGTGCCTTCTGCCATGACGATTGCATTGGCCCCTCTAAGCTCTGTGTCTCCTGCCTCGTCGTGCGGTAACCGGGGCGGGAAGCGAGGAAGAGGATGGCTTGATTTTTGGTTTTGTGTTCAGAAGTACATTGGGAAGAAAACAGGAAATTTACTGCCTTGCACAAGAGACACGTTACTGAATCAGGAATACAGAGTAGAGTTCTTCTTTCATTAAAGAAAGAGCACCTTCTTGTACAGTGAGTCTAAATTGAGCTCAACTACGTGAATTGTGACAAGAGTTTGCACTTAAGGAATTATGTAAATATGTCACATTATTTTGTTTAAAAATATTTTTTCAATCTTTTAGGAGGTAGTGTTTGACTTGTACTGCAGTTTCATTAACCCCAGCCTGCTATCCAGCGTGTTTGCTGAGCTCTGCTCTAGATGGGGGAACGAACCCCCGGCAAAACCTTAGCCTGTTGCCGGTCTTCTCTGGACAAAGAGAAGAACGGGATAATCGAGAAACGAAACGTTTGTCCTGACTGATCACGGAGCACCGAAGCAGGAACCCCTGATGGGGCTCGCTTTGGTGCTCTAAATTCTAGTTCAAATTTGTCAGACTTGGCAGGCGTTAACATCGTACCAGCCCTCCAAGTCACTGCCTTTCGCTTGCGGCCGGGCTGTTTCCAGAAGCCTTACTGGGTTGTGCAATATTGGCTGGCGGTTCTGATCTGCGTATCCTCTCCTCTTCAAGGAGCCAGTTGCACTAACCTTGTTCTAAGGCAGGGAGTGTCTCGATTTGCTCCTGGCAAATACTGAAAAAGGCAACTGTACTAACCATAGGATTCAAGACCTTAAATCATTAAACCAACTCGGTAACCGTGATTATTGGTAATCCCAGGAACCATTTAAAGCAGAGATCACAAACATGTGCTGAGCTGCGTTTCATTGCTGGACTGTCACGACTGGGCAGAAACCCTCTTTCTGAGGCGTTTCGAGCGAGCTGGAAAGTGCCGCCGGCAGCCGCGACCCATCGGCTGGTTGGGGC